ACAAAAATTGTTTTTACAAACGTTTCTTTTCATTTCCATTCGGGGAATTTTACTATCGACACAACTTGTAATGGGCATAGAAAAGAAAGTATAAAACATTTTTCATAATATGAACTGGATATAAAAAGTTAATGTATAACTTTATATATTGCTTTTATAAGAAATCAATCGTTAAAACATTTTCAAGAAAGGTTTTCAGAAACATGTTCCCTTTGTCTTCTATGTAAGGGAAAATGTAAATTATAGTATACTAGCATTGCCCGCGGCTCCGCCCGCGTTCAGATGACCAAAAACCAAATTCTTAGGTTTTACATATTAGTATACTCTTACATTGCAGTTTTTGTATTTTTTCACAAAAATGAGATATTATAACGCGGTAAAAAAAATCCTATATTTTGACCCGGATAACCAGCTATCACCATACTATATTTTATCAAAATCCCTCCAGTGGTTTTTCTGTCATGCGGTAACAGACAGACAGACGGACTAAAATTCTACTCGTATAAGCTATAGATTCGGCCTCTGTATCGATAATAATGTTTATTTAAATAAGATTTTTCAAAAAATATATAATGTAAAGGGTCGGCTTAGTTACAATTTTATTATATGTACAGATATGAATATTATTAACAATTAAAATGTCGAAGCTCAGGAGCGGATTTGTCTTAAAAAATTTTTTTCCAAATATATCGAGTGGGATATAAAAATAAAGGCTTTTAAAAGGGGATCTTTTTGTATATATATTATTATTAGTGCCAAAAATACTACAACATTACTAACTAACAAAGATGACTAAAGATTTTTTAACAAATTTGTCATAATCATCACAGCAAACCAAACATCTTTAAATGAAATTACATTATATGAAATACATTCAAAGTAGCATATTTCCCTACACTGGTCCTGAAATGATTCAGATAAAAGATGTTGCTAATGGGGCATCTAGGACACATCTTGGAACATTACTTAATGTTAATTAGCTGTATAAAATCGATACTGGTTTTTGCCCATTTATGATCTTGTAAAACGTTTTAATGTCACTAATTTTGCGTCGCATTTCCAAGGAGTTTAGTTTAAAGTGGGATAATCTAAGGTGTGCACGGTAGACAGTTTTGATCCTTATAAGCCAGAAAACGAGTAAAACTACGGTCGATTATATCAATAACATCTTCTATATACAAATTTAAAGAAATCAACGCAAATTATAATTTATCTTGCAAAAATGTTATCTACGCCTTCTACATCACGGAACGAACCTTTACTACAACATTCTGTTAAATTTTCGATTTTTTTTATATCTGCCGAGATTAAATTATTTCCTCTTTAGTTTCACACAACAAACACTTTAACGTTTAGTTTCTATTTAATAAACCCGATCGCGACATAAAATGTATGAAACACTGGCTGTGTCATCCCGAGTTTCTCCTTTAAAGCGGTCTTAGAAGTTCTACAATATAAACTTAACCTCTTAAACTAGCTCGTGCCAGGACTATTTCAACTGGCCTTACTTTCATAAAACATTAAAAGTGCTTTTTGTTTGATAACTTGTATTATGTTCATTGGTTTCAGTGTCTTTAGGAAATCTAGTAATTTTATTAAAAGTAAGCTAAAAATGGTAAACTATATAATCATTTTTAAGTATTGCTTAAAGATGTATATATGAATACAAAGACTGCAAAATAAATGAACAAAAGTGCTTTTTAATTATGACTATTTGACTCATACTGAAAAACTGTACCAAGAAACTAAATTTATGATTATAAAACAAACATACGTGTATAACACTTCAATTTTAATATAAAAAATTATATATGAATTAATACATACAAATATATCCTTCACAAAGAAATCACATACACTAAGACAGATAAAACATTCACTAAGAAATTCAAATCAAATAAGTTCAATTAAACCAAGGACTAACTAACTACGACAAACACAATATAATGTACGAAGGCGTTAAAATATTTAATAAATTACCATTAAATTTAATAGAAACAAAACCATTTCATAAATTCAAAAAACTTTTAAAAAATCATGTGTTAAACAACATGCCTACCAATAATTTAACAAATAAAAAATAATAATAATAATAAAAAAATCTTAAATGAAATACTTATACAACTGAACAAAATATAATCTAAATATTTACTAGTATAATATAATAGTTAACATATTGTTATTATTATACTCATTGTTATTACTAAATCCTATCCGTATCACTTCTAGTAACAAGCTCTTTATATCTTTGTGTTTACCAATTAAGTACGTAAATATTCCAGTTGTAACACCGTTCTACCCACAATATTATGTAAAAATGATATTGTCTGACTAAATATAAAATTTTTGTATTAATCCTATTACCTTTTTTTTAACGTTGGGAAATGCATTTACGCACGAGGTGTGGGACTCACCGGCAAAGCCAGTACTACCCACTAAAACCCAACAAAGCCTTCCCCCGTCTTAATGGGGCGTCGCAGGATCGCTTACGCATTCAACTACGACGCCCCGACGGCAGGTCTGCTGAGGCAGACCACAACGACCATGGGGTTGCTCCAAGGTCCACTCTGCTATCAGAGAAGTACCAGGAGTAACCCGCATGGTACACCGCCCCCCGAAGAGGGCCACCTCCCACCGCCCACCGAAGTGGGCAACCTCCCTGTGCGTTTCTTAGCTTCGCGCCCGGTTGGATTGCCGGGCACTACTGAGCCCCCCCACCACGACAAGGTGAACGCACGTTGGGGGGGATTAATCCTATTACCTAATGAACTCATATTTGATGTTTCTGTACCTATAACAATTTTTTTCTGTTTTGTATTAAGTTGTTCATGATGTAAATAATATTCAACTACCTACTTGTAATTTTTTCTCATTAACTGAATGTAATACTTTTGAGAAATAAATAAAGCATCTTTAAACCGATGTTCATTGGCTTCGGTGTCTTTAGGAAATCTAGTAATTTTATTAAAAGTGAGCTAAAAATGGTAAACTATATAATAATTTTTAAGTATTGCTTAAAGATGTTTTTCTATTCATATCCTGTCACAAAACCTTCCCCGTCTTGATGGTGCGTCGCACGATTGTGTGAGTGAAGGTGATACGACAAGGTGATCATACTCGTACATCGAAGGGGGTCATATTCTATTATAACTAATATTATAATTTTAAAAAGTTTATGAGAATGGATGGATGCAAAAACTATTGAACGGATTTTGGTATAACTTTACAGTATAACCACAGATCATATAATACTATCCTAGCTTATTCATCAGAGTAACACGTATACTATAATTTTTTAAGATGTAATTAATACACGTGCAAAGCTGAGGGAAAACGCCAGTCGTTAAAATATTTATTTGTATTTTATTATATCTTCTTACAATGTAGTATAGATAAAAAAGTGATGAGACATTCCACATTTAATGGTTTTCAGGCCAGGACTACCGCTAAGACTAAGTTCTGGCCTAATTTACAAAGAAAAAATAATAAAAAAGAAGTGTGTACAGAGTACAAGTGTTAAAAGTGTTTCGTGTTAGAAGTGTTTCATTAGTTCTTTAACACCTCCAGGTAAATTTCTAAGAAATCTATTGTTAACTGTAACACCGGCGTGACCGAGGTCGTGGAGGGATTATGTTATATAAATCTCTATCTATTTCATAGTAACCATTAAAACGTACCTAGGGACGAGCCCGAACTAAGCGAGGGTGAACCGCTAGTTATAAATGTTTTAGATATTAGCAAATACTAATACATTAAATTAAAATTTTTAAGACCCCCTCAACCACCTTGGACTGATTTTCATCAAACATAGCTAAGAACACTCCCGACTAATTCACCTTTCAAGCAAAAAAAAAACAAAATCAAAATAGGGTTCATCCGTTCGAGAGCTACGATGCCACAGACAGACATACACAGACACGTCAAACTTATAACACCCCATCGTTTTTATGTCGGGGGTTAAAAATAGTAATCTATGAAGATAGGCAACGGAGAAACTATCATATATATTAATTGTCAGACAATAACAGTGGTTACTATGGCAACCTAATGCTAGCGTCATGGACATAACGGTTTTCGTAACGATTTCTCATGACGCGGCCTTTTGACTTCAAAACATAAAATAAATACGAAGAATAATATAATATAATTGTTATGATTCTAACAAAACAATTATTGTTTTATGAGAACTGACTTAGCAACTTTGAACGTAGTAAAGTATCATTCCTTCCTAAACATATTTAATAAAACCGTTAATAAAATATTGTCTTTAGAATCCATAAGCTAATAACGTTCATTTATATTTCCTAAATAAATATTTCAAAAGCAATTTAACAAAAATCTTTTTTTTTATATCATGAATAAATGAAATCTAGATTTAATAAAATGATCACTAACTGCTACGATCAAACAATATTTGCCTATAATTATAAAAAGGGCAGAAATATCAACCATATAAATTGATTTCAATCAGTGCCTTACAACTGGGACCACGTGACCGTCACGTGCCAATATGTACTTGACAATGACTGATAATGTCATCAGCATTCTATAGCTTGGAGGGTAACCGCCTATAACCAATATTGCTAGACCCCTTAACATACGAATTTCAACCTTAGGCTTTAGATATTAACGTTCAAATAGGAAATGAAAAACATGTCTAAGGCTTTACCGATTTAATAATGCATTCGTTTGATGCGATTATGGACTTTATTACCATATATTAGCAGCTAGTTTTTGTAGCAAACGTGTGAAGCTATTTCAGATGTCAAATGAGTCGTGATAGCGTAGCGTAGGTGGTGAAAAGAGGGCACAATACACAGAGTAATTAGAGATTGAACTCCTCAGAGATTGAAAAATAAATTAATTATACACTATTATTATTATAATGAATTAAATACACTTACTCTATATTTACACCATTAACTATTTTGGTGGTGTAGTGGCTAGCATGTACAACTCCCGGAGATCCTGGGTTCGAGTCCCGGGTTGGGCCAAGTTTAGTTAAGTCGTCGGTCCTGCGCCTTATCTCTCACTGGTCGTGTCGAATGGTCGTCCCACCAGTATGAGAGTGACAGGAATAGAGAGTGCACTTGTGTCTGCGCGCACAACGACACGCGCTGCACTATAATATCTCCTGTGCAGTTGGCTAGTCTCAATGAGATAGGCCGCCGTGGCCGGAATCGGTCTAGAGGACATTATTATTATTATTCACAAAATAAAGCTGTATACATTCTGATTTGCTTTTGCATTATATAATATCGTTATTCAAACATTTCCTAAATATTTAAAAAATTACTAATACTTGTTTTTCTAAAATGTTAATATTACTATAACAAACTAAGCAAAATTAGATTATTTATTTCATAGATTACTCTAAATTTTTCATTACTCTATACAAAATCCAATTTCCTCGCTATGTGACTTGTCTAACTCGCCGCTGTTAATATTCTCACGTGGTACAATTAAAATATAGCGTTACGTTTCAATTACTGGAACCAATTAGGTAGAATAATATTGGCCCTTTGCCTAAAAGGTATTCGAAATGATTACGTTAAACGACATTTTGTTTAATGTACATTTTTCTAATATAATTTATTAGCTTTTCTATCTTTAGATACATAGTTAAAAATAAATATGGTGAATAAACTTTACAAATATTATTATAATAAAAATGTCTGTTCGTTTGTTATTCACACAAGAATAGACAAAGAAAACGGAATGATTTTTTTAACATATACTCATAGATGTTCGGGTTGGAGAACGACGGCTAAAGTAAAAAGACTCCGTTTTTGCTTTAAGGTTAGGTAAAAATTAATTAAAAAACAATTTGGCAGCGGTGGGATTCGAACCCACGCCTCCGAAGAGACTGGTGCCTTAAACCAGCGCCTTAGACCGCTCGGCCACGCTACCATATGAGGTTGTTGGCAAAATAATAAAACATGTACTTTATATATATATTCATTAAAAACTAATACAAGATTATTATATAAAAACCAGCAGATATAAGAAAACTTGTAAATAAAATTTAAAAAAAGCGCAAATTAGTGACTGAATGTAGCGACATCTATATAAAATATTAAATTTACGTTCACATATTATTAATGTACAAGAATACTTTTTGCACCTACCTACAAAAATAATAATGTAGATCACTAAGCTTTATAACAAAGTTGTTATGTTATTTAAAGTCCTAACTATTCTTCTATAAGAAAAAACATCGGTACGTCATACGTAACCGGAAACGACTTATTTAATAGGCTGAGATATACTCGTAATAATTACTTCACTCCAATCATTTCTATATTGTAGTACGGATTGATATACTTTATAATAATTAAACTATTTATTGCTATGTACGGGAAATGAACCCAGGTCATCCGAATTATACACTCATACAACCCAGTCACATCCAATTGTGCTTACGCAACAATATCTTTAAAAAAAGTTCGTTTCTAGCAAAACCCGCGGCTTCACCCGCGTTCAATCTAAAAAAAAACTCTTTGGCTTTATTTACAGCGTATTTGTATGTATTATTAAGTATTTTATTATTTATGTATTTATATAATATTGTTCATACAAAAATATTAAAATCGCCATTAAAAAACGGAGGGTGGGAGTAGGAGGCTGAAAAATTTTTACGACCTATTTTCATACCTAGCAAACATACAAAAAAAATATCATTAAAGACGTTTGAGCCGTTTCGGAGGAGTGCGACCAGAAACACCGTGGCAAGAGATATTTATATATTAGATAATTTAATTCTGTTTTATTAAGAATGTAGCGCGAAGGTACCTATGTATGTATTCTGTATCATAATTTAATTAATTGAGAAGAAATGTCAATTTTGGTAAAAGCTTCTATGAAATAAGCTTTTCAAACTCAATTATTTAAAACGTTGTTTTAAATGCTGTATGCTCAACAAATTATTCGACTACTTTTTCATCGAAAAGCGATCGTTCAAAAGCCAATTAATTTATTATTACTGAATAAACGGCAAAAACACTGCACGTGTACTTAACAAATATTTTCAATGTCAACCGATCGTTTTAATTGTTTGACGATAAGTGGGTAGTTTGAAATGTTTTCGCTTTACATTGCAAATGTTTTGTTTGGTAGATTTAAATTGGTTGTGAAATAGAAATGCTTGTTATTTTTTAAGTTATTAATAAAACTAGCGACTCACCCTCGCTTCGCTCGGTTTCGCCTCTAGGAGCATAAAAACAAACCTATCCCACGGGAACCGTAAATTTTTCTGGGATAAAAAGTGTTGTGTTATTCCAAACTATAATCTATCTCTGTGCCAAATTTCATCCAGATCCGTTCAGCCGTTCTGACGTGAAAGAGTAATAAACATCCATAGATACTCACAAACTTTCACATTTATAATACTTATAATAATACGGATTCCAGACTTTATATAGACTCAATAGAGGCAAAAAATGATGTAGGCATTTTTTTACAGTAAAATATTATTATCATATTTCAAATATTTTTTGAATAAGTAGCATGTTTTATTCGGTTGATTTAAAATGGTGGCTGTGAAATAGAAAATATAATAGTAAACATAACATTACAAATCCCAGGTTTTCGTTCTAGTTTTACTCAATCGGTCAGTGTCGTATTTGAACTTGAAATTTTCGGTACCCGCAGCTAATGTGTGCTGTGTGTGTATGTAGCGTAAATTCCCCTCGCAGTTGACCAGTTTTAGATTTACCTCATGTCATAGTTTAAAGATTGCTATAAGCGAAGGAAAACTAAAATCGCAAACCGAAACGTTCACGGGACATTTTAAATAAAAATTACATATGGTTATTGGTTAATAATATATTTTTATACTATATTTTTATTTTATCTTTTAATACATTTTTAGAGTAGATTTTTACTTACTCTCTCTCTCTCCAATGTAGAGGAAGAAAAAAGAATTTACTTATATCAATGATCAACTCATTGATATAAGTAAATAAATTCTTCTTAATAAGAATGTATACTTTATTTTTCCATTCAAAAGATCATATTTCATTTCTCAAGAAAACTAATATAGAAATATAAAAACTTGTACATTTCATATAAATTCCAAGAAAATCTTTAATATTATCAATAGATTTCATGAATGTAATATTGTTCACCGAATTTACGATGTCTACAGTCTCGTCCGTTTGTGTTAGAATTGCCGTTTATTGTCATACTATTGTTATGAAAATGTAAATTTGAGGTGGACATGATATATCTTCGAATCTTACAGACGATGCACAAAGGTCGCTGTAAATTTTGAATTTAATACCTTCGTAGTTCAATTTGGTTTAAGGAATTCATGTTTGTGGCTTATACATATCGTTGGCTCACTATTACGAGGTTCTATGTTAATTTTAATGAAGTTTAGTAATTTGACTTTAAAAATTTTGACTTTCGGAAAATGTATACTTATTAGTCCTAATCCCTAAGTGATAGTTTATTAGCATAATTAAGGGCTACGTGATGCTTTCTAGGAACTAACAATTGGATATTGACTTGGATATTAAGCAATATATCGAATAAAACAATCTTTTCGGATTTTTTCGCGAATTTATCTAGATTTTTGGTTCCCGACGTTTCGAATGCTTTACAGCAATCATGGTCACGGGAGAGACTGAGGTGTTAGATGTCTCTAAGGTATTATATAGTAGTTACAGACAGATGTTTTATTATACGTTATTTATTCTATCTATATATACGTATATGTATCATAAAACTAGAAGTCGAATGTCTGTACAAAGAAAAAAAATGCTATAAACCGAGTCAGTTCTCTTCTTACGTATTACGTATTACGTATGGATATTGAATATTCTTTCTGATGTTTTATTGATCAACTGTTGTAATTTAATATAGTTATAAGTTTCTCACGTAAAGAACTCGTTCGAGATGAGAAAATAAAGTTCTATAAACCAAACTAGCTTTCACCATATGACTAGCTTTCGTGTTAATTAAAAAAACTCAAAAACTTCCTACTATGTCCTTGCTGACCGAATTTTGTAAACGCTACTGAAAACTGAAATTGGTGCAGACAATTTAGAATAGGTACATCAAATGAATGCAATTTTATCGGTTTTTATTTTATCACTTTACTCCCTTAGGGGATGGTGGTCCCAAAAGCCCATCTCTACCCTCTTAGGTAATTGAATAAGCTACTTTCAATTTATTGCAAACGATCCTCCTAGTAACGTTAGTATTGAAATCACCTTAGTGTCCCTTTTCTAATAGGTTACGGTCTGGATAATCTAAGTTCTGGACCTAAGTTTCAAACACTTTATATTGCATACAATATTAGCATTTATGTCTAAAGGATAAGAGTTATAATAGATTACAGTTTCATAATGTTTTCAATTTGATAATGTACATTATATTTATTAGAATAATATATTTAAGTAAGTACTGAATTTGGGTCACTTTGTTTTAGATTGTTTTTATTATAGTTAATTTTTAGCTAACTAAAACTTCTGATGATTGATTCTGGTGAAGATTTTCTTGAAATTTGTATGTAAAAATCCTATAATATTATAATACGTAAAATCTTTTTATTAGAAAAACTGGTTGTGTCTAATGCAATAATGTAATGAAAAGTTATTGGTTCACATCCTGCGTAAATCAAATCAAAACACACGAACTGAGCATCTTTTCTTTTTTAAAGTCGGTAAAGTAAAGTTGTGATATGACTCATTTATTTAATTTTTAACTCAACGCCGATAAAATAAATTTACATCAATTAATTAGACTAATTCTTAAAATACAAATATGCTTTTATGCACATATTAATCTACACATATAATAAAAGTGTAACTGATCGTTGTCTGTAGATGGAAGATATTCAAAAGAACTATTACTGGGGGGGGGGGGGGTCTTTATTAACGCAATAGAATCGTAAACAATGATTTTAAAAAAAATTGTCTGTTTGTCTGTGCGTTTGTCCGCGCTAATCTCAAAAAAAAACGGCTTAATTTTTCGCATTATCAATTATTATACGTTTGATTATGATGAGAGAACTACTATTATGGCAGAATGTACTATTAAAATGCACAGGACTCCACGATATTGTCTCCAAAAATATTTAAATATACTGATTGCATTTTTAATATGCTGATATTCTGAACTCAGTATGGTAAATAGTAAGCCTTCACAGGTCGCGTCTGGCGTGACGCCGCGCTGTAAACGTACGAGAAATGTTTATAATGTGACATATGTATATGCATTGTGTGCTTCGTCTGTAGCCCTGGCTTTCTAACATAACGTTTTCTTAGCAAAAAACGCTTTCATAAAAGTGTTTTGCAAATAGAATATGTAAAATTTCATAATATGAAGACTTTGATCACACATAGACATATAAATTCTGAAGAATAAAACCTTTTATTTTAATTTTTCTTCATAATATTTAAAAACAGATTATAAAATTATCTATTCATCCATGTTTTAATTATTGATTTTTAAATTTTCAGTAAATCTTTCCATGACACCGAATCTGCAGTAACCATCGTATGATGCTTAGCCTTGGTTAAAAACAACATCTAGTCAATGGTACGCCGTAAATTTGTAATAGGCCACAGAATATCATTAACTTAATTTGCAGTAAAGTTTAATTTAATTCAATTACCTGTCCAATGGTCTGTACGGCCTGTGGCGTATTTAGTTAATTGAGTAGACATTATGTCACCAATTTCATGTTGAATGGAAGAGTCGAAAATTGCCCGGTGATATTTAAAATTATCGCCTGCATGGATATATTCGACTGGACTACTACAGTAGTCAGTATTTTAAAGGTAATAGATATATCTAACTAGTTTTTGCTACCTTTTTTTAATGGTGGGACTCACCGACTAGAAAAACCAGTACTACCCACTAAAACCCGTTTGCTACCTACCTAACGGGGTCGGGGATGATGTCCATCTCCAGGATGCAATCTTTGTCCTAGTCAACTTTTATCGAAATCTGTTCAGCAGTTTAAGCGTGAACAGGTAACAGACAGAATTACTTTCACATTTGTAATATTACTGCTCTTACTCGCTTCGCTCGGGTGCACCCTTTTTGCACTTATAATTATTGGTCTCTTTTGCCTTTATAATATACGTAACCTCTTTCAGCAAAGACATGGTACTTACAAACTTTCACATGACCTCCAAGTTTTAGTTTCCTGACAAAAAGTAGCCTACATTCTTCTCCAAAGTCTCATTTATCGCTATATCAAAATTCATCAAAATTGATCCAGTGGCTTGGGCGTGAAATCGCAACAGACGTCTATCTGAGTAGATAGACAGAGTTGATTTCATTTTTATAATATTACAAGCATTGCATGCGCTCCGCCCGCGTTCAGATAACCAAAAACCAAATCCTTAGGTTTTACATATTAGTATACTCTTACATTGCAGTTTTTGTATCTTTTCTCAGAAATGAGACATTTTCCCGCGGTAAAAAGTATCCTATATCTTGACCCGGCTAACCAGCTATCGTCGTATTAAATTTAATCAAAATCCCTCCAGTGGTTTTTCTGTGATGCGGTAATAGACAGACAGACAGACAGACAGACAGACAGACAGACAGACAGACAAAAATTCTAAAAACTATAGATTCAGCCTTTGTATCGATAATAATGTTTATTTCAATAAGATTTTCCAAAAAATATTTAATGTACAGATGTTAGTATGGATAAGGTCAATTACCAGATAGAGATAAGATTGCCATTTTTGTAGGTACTAGGTTAATATTATCACTTAATTTTGTGTTACAGCCTAAAATGATTATGGAAAATTCCGTTTCTCATAAAACTCAAATTGAAAGAGAGAAAAAGAGATAATAACGTAAGGCCAATAAAGAAAGCAGGTTTCGCTAAAGCTGTCATAAAAATGATCGCAATATCGCGTTGTAATAAGCTGCGAGAACATTGAGTATATCCAATAACATCGTTAAAATGAGAATATTTGATTCCCGTAATTTTATTTTTATCTATTCAATGAACTTATACAAGACTAGCGACTCACCCTCGCTCTGCTCGGGCTCGTCCTTACTTGTGTATAGATTTTTCAGAGATTAAATATTTTCCCGCAGTAAAAACTACCTATAGCTATCATCATAGCCAATTTTATCAAAATCCCTCCAGTGGCTTTTCCGTGATACGGTCACAGATAGACAAACAGACAAAATTCTAAAAACGATAGATTCGGTCTCTGTTTCGATAATAATGACCACGTATTTCAATAAGATTTTCCAAAAAATATTTAATGTACAGATTTGGCTTAGTTACAATTTTATGATACATATTATGTATAGATGAAATTCTACAATCACTGTTGTACAAGATAAAAAATATGAATATGACATAATATTATGTCATATCCATATGTTTTTGTCATTTTCAACCGACATCAAAAAAGGAAGAGGTTCTCAATTTGGCTGTATATTTTTTTTATATTTGTTACCTTAGGACTCCGTCATTTATTACGGATTCTAGATTCGAGAAAATTCTTTTTTTGTTTGGAAGTGTATATGTGTGTTCTAAGGGTGAAAGATAGCTAATGAATATTTAACGTACTTCTAATTGTCATATTGATTTGAAGCTTTGTAAGTGTTTTGTAACTATTTCCGTTGATAGTGCAGTGATTCGGTACCGTCGACCTGATCTGATGGGAAGGCAAGAAGGTGGATAGGTGGAACGGTTCTTCAACGGCTAATAGTAGATCTTTCGAGTTTGGGCTTATTTTGTTTGACAAGTCCAATACGTTAGATATTAGAGCCTGATTTTTAGTGTTACTAATAAAAGATAATTTTACTTTGTCAATCTAAAAATAAAAAATAAAACCTTTAAAATTTAAAACCACCCTCAAAACACTAAAAAGTAAAAAAATAACCGAATGGAGTTTACAGACACTTTCGTAGTCGAAGTTTTTATAACAATTTGAGCAAAACCACGTCAGATTGCTAGCAGTAAAAATTTACGCACCGACCAACCAGTGACATCTCGCATGAAAGGTAGCTTCAAATTTTCTTTAGTTATATGCTTAACTACTAAGACATACCCTTGTAAGCTATGCTTGTATTATATCATGTCGCTTAAAATGAAAATATCTGATTCTGACAACTTTATTAAAATATCATACTTAAGATTTCTCGACGCGATACATCTCTTTTTCAAATAAATATAATTTATTGTATTACTAGCGTCTCACCTTCGCTTCGCTAGGGTTCACCTCTAGAAAATCAAAAACACTCTATCCCACGGAAACCGTACATTTTTTCGGGATAAAAAGGCCTATCTACTATTCCAAACTATGATCTATTTCTGTGCCAAATTTTATCCAGATCTGTTTAGCCGTTCTGGCGTGATTGAGTAACAAACATCCATCCCTTATTATGTTGTTATTAGTGTGATTATTATGTTAGTATTGTCAATATTTTCTGTGTGATTCTTTATATTCTAGTGGTAATTGAATCAGATTTTACGCAACTATATTTTACTGAACATTACTGTCTAAAGATAAATCGACATCTGTAAAGAACAACACTGTAAATCCGTGTTAAAATAATAAAAAAAATAACGATTTTCTCCACAATATGGAGTTACAATGTGTTTCCATGCAGGTATAGAAACTATCTAATTTATGATTTTTATTTTAGTTATATTTGTATAATTCATAGTTTTTCGCAATTCATAATTTCGCAGTATTGAATCAAATTTTATAATTTTGTTTTTATATAAAATATATTTCTCTCCTTTTTTTGTTATCAAAATTATTCTAAGTATATTCAATGTATGTAAATACTTAAAATAATCTAAATTGATTTAATAAAAACTCATGTAATATTTTACCATGTATCTTGTAATGATATTTTCATAAAAACATATTTCGTATTACTATTCACTAAAAATCTCTGCCATTGTCTTTGTATACAAAGACACATATATATATATAGATATATATATAAATTTAAATCAACTGGGAGAACTCTTAGTTGTCAGTTGTTCATAACAAAAACTGACATAAAACACGTTTACATCAAAAACGTCGTATTTAATATATATCAACCATTTTGCACCCTTTCAGTATAATGTTGACAGCTTCTATAAAACATATTTAGCTTGCAAACACAGCTTGGTATATGAAAAATCGAAAGTATACAAATTTAAACTATATCACCTATATAATAAGGCACTGATAAATATTACTGAGCGAGAATTAAGTTGGTAAAACAACAATACCTCAGAATGATCATCCTATCTTTTTGAATATCTTTTTCGTAAACTGTAGGTGTCCATTCATTTTTATTATCATAACGTGAAATGAAAGTGCATTCAAATTTTTCAGCGTTGATAAACAGTATACATGGGTAATATTTAAAGACTAAGTAAATACAATTGTTCAAAATATTATATAGAAGGTTTTTCAAAGAGATTTTATTTTGAACTAGCGATTCACACTCGCTTCGCTCGGGTTCGTCCCTAGATAGGTTTTGAATTAAAATGGATATAGTATGTTACCCTAAAGAGATAGATATATCCCATCCATCCAGCCATCGTGGACTTTTCTGTAGACCTATATGAGATACTCAATTTCACCATACAATATTTTGTTATATCTCAAAGGGTTTAGGCAGCGTTTTCGTTGAAAGCTCCCAGACGGCTTATTTTTTTCCGACACCTCCAAAAAATATCGTTATATTTTAGCAAATGTATACAAAAACTGAACAAATTATATATTTAAACCTTTCTCAAAAACCACTCTATCCATTGGTGAAAACAACATAACAATCGGTGCAGTAGTTTTTGAGTTTATCGCGAACAGACAGACAGACAGACGCGGCGGAGGACTTTGTTTTATAATATGTAGTGATATAAATGTACTTGTATTCAGCCATTTTTAGCGTCCTACTGCTAGATACGTGCCTCCCTTCAATACGAGGAGGATTAGGCCATAGTCCACCACGCTAGACAAGTGCGGGTGTGTGGACTTCACTCTCTTCTCTCAGACATGTGGTTTCCTCACGATGTTTTCCTTCGCCATAAGGCAAGTGGTCATAATGTTAGAAATGATTTGCACATGAAAATATCAGAGGTGTGAGACCCGGGATTTGAACCCACTTCAAAGTTAATGTGCATATATACGTAAATATAAACATAACTTCCGACTATCGATCAAATCAAGGCAACAGATCAAGAATCAAGATACAAAGTGCATATCATTAGGTAATTAATTTCCCTATACGGGAACGAAACCGGCGAACTTCGGCATAGTTTTCTTCGTCATTCAAACACACATTACGTATTTTACTCACCATTCGTATCTTATCGTACGACTTAATTTATAAAAAAAAATGGCGAGCAGCTTCACTATACCTCACGAAAGTTTCATCACAATCGGATGAATGTTAAATGAATACGTTATACATAAACAAATATTCAATAGTTTCAAAGCATGTATATTTGATACCTAATAGATATTTTATGTACATTTTAGAAGAGCAAAACACGAGTGGTATAAAAGCTAAGCTTCCGTAAAATTTTGCAATAAAACAATATTTTCCGTTGCAACGTCCGCCAGATAACGAGGTAAACTCGAAAGCTATCGACGCTCTATTTTGTATCGAAATTGCTTAAATACACTGTATTTTCTCGCTAACGATTTTAGTAAATTGTGTACATACTCATGCGTGATTT